TGCCCTAAAGCTGACACCCTGAAGGGGACGTAATCAGATGAATTTGTTTCAAGTTTGGCACCAGCACCATCTTGAGTCACTGTTTTTGCTCTGGCCTGTTATCAGGTCACAGCTTTGGCTCCAACCTTGTTCAAAAGGCTCAGCTGCACCTTCAGCTTGGGCACTAATTTCAGCTGTGACTGGCTCTGCTCCTTGTTCAGGCCATTATTTTGAATGGCTCGATTTTTACTATTTCTTCATCTCTAAACATTGCTTAGGCCAAGATTTCAGCTCTTCTTGGGCTGTTCCCCTGTAAGGCTCTGACTTTGGTTTTGGGCCCATCCTGGGTCATGATTCTGACTCTGGTCCTGCTCAGGATGTGAATTCAGCTTTGGCCCAATATTGAGCTGCTGTTTCCACTCAGCTCCATCTTGGTCTGCAACTTTTTCTCCTGCCTGTTTCAGACCAATATTTGAGTGCCAGTCCAGTGTCAGTTTGGCTCTGGCTGTATGTCACTCTTTGAGCTGGGCTCCAGCCCCTGCTCCTTGGCCTTGTCTCTTCATCTCCAGCTTGGTATCAGGCTTCAGCTCTGGCTCCTGGCTGGGCTGTGATTTTGGTTCTGGTCCCATCAGGCTGTGACTGCAGGTCTGACTGCACCTCTGTTCAGGCTGTGAGTAGAGATGAGGAGTCATCCTGGGCCTCTATCATGCCTCCAGCCCCATCTTTGGCAATGGTCACTGCTCCAGGACCTGTCCTGAGCCACAGCTTTGATTCTGGTCCCATCTTGGGTCATGAGCTTGTCCCCAGCCTGATACAGGGCTCTGACTCCAGCTCCAGGTCAGGCTCCCATGTCTACTCTGCCCCTCTTGGTCCTTGACTCTGCTCTGCCCTTCTCTGTTTGTGACTCTGGGTCCTGCCTGATATTGGGCAGCAGCTTTGGCTCTGGTCCCTGCTTGGGCTGTGACTGGTGCCAGACTGAGCTGTTAACCTCAGCTTTCTAGAGATACTGGAATGAGACTTTATCTCCTCCCATCTATGGCAGCAATTTGAGCTCTGGTTCACCTCAGCTTTGTCTCAATACCAGGTCGAGATTTTTGCTTCAGCCCCATCTCTGGCCATACCTTTGGCTCTGGCCATTGTTCAGTTGGCTTCTTTGGGTCTGCCCAGGCTTTGGGTCTGACTCCTCCTCAGGAGGCTGCTGTGACTTGGCCACTGTTTGGGCCATGGCTTTGGCTCTGGCCCTGTCTTGGCTTGTGACTTTGTCTCCAGCCACATCTTCATCTGCAACTTTGACTTAAGCTACAGGCTCAGGCCACAAATTTGGTTTAATTTCCATCTTAGGCTCCTGCTTTGGCTCCAGCCTGATCTCTGATTGCTGTTTTGGTTCTGGATTGGTATTAGGCTGTGACTTAACCTCTGGCCTGATACCGGCCAGATGCTTTACCCACAGCTTGATGGAAGATCACAGCTTTGGCTCTAGCCCTGATTGGGAAGCTATTACAGCTCTTATTTGGGCTGCTCCTTCAGTTTCAGTCCTTTGTCAAGCTGTGACTTTGGCCACCTCACCATCCACATCTTTGTCTCTGCTTTGATACTCAGTTGCAACTTTGCCAGTGGTCCCTGCTTGGTTCATAACTTCTGTTTTTGCCCATTTCAGGCTGCAACTTTTGCCTCTTAGGCAGTGACTTCAGCCCTGTTCCCTGTTCAATGACTGGTGGCTGTTTTTGAGCCATGTCTTCAGCTCCTGTCCACTGTGAGGCCATGAATTTGTCTCAGTTTTTGGATCAGGGCTTCAACTCTGGCCCCTGCTCCAGCTCCTGTGAGGATTATGGCTTCTGCTCCAGTCCCACATTGAGCTGTGACTTTGGCTCTGGCCCCATTTCAAGGCACCAGTCTCATTCCAGCCCTATATCAGACTGATTTTAGCTCCAACCCCATCCTGAGCTGTAACATCAGTGGTGGTGACATTTTTGCTGCATCTTTGGCTCTTGCTCAATCTCAGACCATGTCTGTGGCTCTGGCCCCTACTTGGGTCGCTAATTTGTTCCTTGTCATTTCTTGGGCTGCTATTTTGCCTCTAGGGGAAATCTTGGGCCATGGCTTCAGCTCTGGCCCCATCTCTAGATGTGACTTTAGCTCCATTGCAATTTCAGGCCGTGATTTCAGTTTCAGACACATCTTGGGCCTCTGAGACACGTCTAGCCTAATACCAGGTTGCTACTTCAGCTTCAGTACCTGTTTGGTCTGTGACTGTGGCTAGGGCTGGATAGCAGTTTGTGCCTGTGGCTGTAGCCCCATGTTGGTCTGTGGCTTCATCTCAGTGGCATTTCTGGGCATGATTTCAGCTCTGGCCCAATACTTGGCTGTGACTTTGCCTGGAGAGGTTACCTGGAACAGAAGCTAGACAGAGTAAGAGAAATAAAGTAGGTATTTATTAAAAGGTCTTCAAAGGATTCACCTTGGGCAGTACAAGAGCCTGGTTGAGGCTACACCCAAGTGGATGATGGGTCATGAGTTTTCACACTTTTATAAGTTTGGGTCATTTGCATATTGGAGTTAATTGTCCAATTACATTTTCAGGTAATGAAGTCCCATCCTCCCATTTTGCCCCCCCAATTCACTTTTGTTTATATATTTTGGGGTCTGAAGCTGCTGTGGTGACCTTGGTTCACAGGCTGGAAAAGGATTGTTTTGTCTAACTAAACTGTGAAGAGAACTTGCTAACAGTCTATATTAAGTTCAGTGTTGTATACTAAAGCAGTACAGAATCTGAAAAATATGAGAGCTAGAACTTAAGGCATCAACTTCAGTTCCAGCCCTATCTTGGAGCACTAGTTGCCTCCAACTCAAATTTGCCTCTGGTCCATGCTCAGACAGTGAGTGTCACAACAGCATGGGCAGCAATGTAGACTCTGGCTCCCATTTCTGAGCATGGCTTTGGTTCCAGCCAATCTTGGGGTTATGAATTTTTTGGCTCTGGCAGTACCTCAGGTGGTGACTGTTTTGTCCTGATAGTGGGCCATAACTTTTTGTCCGGTAGGGATTTTATCTTGACTCTGGGCCCACCTTTAGCTGCAATTTTGGCTCTGGACAGTGCTTGGGCTTTTGTTTCTTCCCCATCTTGAGCCACAGCTTAGGCCCCAGCCAAGCAGTCAGTTGTGATGTTGGCTCTGGCTCTGCATTGGTTTGCAACTTCAGCTCCTGTCCTATCACGGGATGTGATTTCAGATCTGCCCCCTGCCTAGACCTTAACATCTACTGCAATTCCATCCTGGGGCCCCAGTTTTGACACAAATTCCCTGCTTTGATCACAGCATGTACTCTGGACTCATCAAGGGATACCCAATTGTGGGCCCAGCCTGTTCAGACTTACAGCAGAGCCCTGTCCCAGTTTCAGGTCCAGCCCCATTGCAGGTTGTGACTTGGGGACGCTGTGCAGCAGTGGTACATGTGAGGCAGGGAGCAGACAGCAGCAGGAGAGGGCTGCCAAAGCAGCCATTTCCCTGCTGTACACTTAGTGATGGATGTCTTAGTCCTGGTCTCACCAGATTTCTGAAGCTTTGCAGAGGTGGAGGGACCCACACCCCCAGCCACCCTGTAGAGCCTGAAGGGACAGCCCTTTCCCACGAGGATGCTGAGCTGTGAGAGGTAAAAAGGCAAGCAAGCCCCGTTAGCCCTGACTGAATGGTTCTGCCGGCAATGGAAGGTGCTGCTGGGCTTCTGTCGGGGCCTTTCACCTCACCAAGGACTCCTGGCACTCACTGGGCACTCCCTTGCTGGGGTCACTTGTGGGCTCCCTCAGGGCCTCTTGGTGCTGTGGCCAAATTGCTTTCCTAAGCCATGGCACCTGTTCCCCTGTTCCTACTCTACTGCTGAAGGCACTCACTGATGCTGATCCACCTTAAGGGACACTGCTGCCACATGGGTGTGCCAACTGTGCTGGCCTGGGTACCAGAAGGAAACCCTGTGCTGTCCCCAGGTGCCCCTTGCTTGCCCCAGCCTGCCAGCACACTGCAGGCACACTACCTCTCCAAATGGTGGTGGCCCCTGGCTTCCAGCCATGCAGACTCATGCTAAGGCTGTCACTAACAAGAACTGCACCTTACTATCATGGCAGGATAATTTATAAGTGAGATAGCAGGATGAAAGTCAACTTTAGCCCAGTTAAAATTGCAGCGTGTCTGGGTACCTGCTGGGCACCAAGTGGCCTTACATTCATCCCCTGGTGGCCCAGGAACCTCCCCACGTGCTCTCTGTACTGATGAGGCAGAGGTTCTGTGTAAGGCCAATTTGAGAAAGGGTTACCAGTACAACCAAGCATGCGACCAATTGTCACAAAAGCTCTCCAGGTCAGGCTTCCAAAGTCTTGGAGATTTCCCCTCTCACTTTGTATAAATGGATCCACATAACTCTGTGCTTTGTTTATTGACATGCTAGGTGGAGGGTGTGGCTGTCACAGAAACTCCTCAAGCTTCTCCATGCTGCAAAATTGACCACCTACACAGAGAAGGCACTTTGCAAGAGTCACTGTGAGCTGTTTCTGTGGCTGCAGACATGATCATGCAGGACAGTCAACTCCATGTCAATCAGCTTTTGTACTTGGCATTAGTAGAGAGGGATCATATAAACACTGGAGTGGTCACAAGCCACCTCGACAACGGGAAAGGCAAGAAGAGGTGGTGTAATGAACAAATTCTAACATGTCTAAAGGCTAAAAACTTATCCTAGGGCATCAAGATGTCCCTGTGCAATCCCTGCCACATGTAAAGAGATGGATTCTCTGAGTTGCACTGAAAGGGCCCTATATGTGGCCCCAGACTGAGAGTGACCATGCAAAATTACTGGGGCACATTTTGGGCCTTGCAGGGTTCTTCAGGACATGAGTAATACTGCCCCCAAAAGTGGGAAATCAGAACAAATGCCAATATCAGAAGAATGTGTGCATGGGGACAGTAAGGAAAAGCACACTAAAATAGAAAAAACAAAACAGCATCTATTAACTACACTTGTACTTAGCAATGTAAGAGTTCACAGAAATATTTTTTTTAATAATATTTATCAGAAACATGGCACTTTACATCTTCAGGTCACTGAATAGACAATGATTATTCCTCACAACATCCCTGTGAGGTAGGCATTAGATTGCAGTTACTATTTTACATGTGGACAGGAGCAGAGGACTATGTAATCAATCCTGCACAATTAAGTTAATGAAGTTCAACTCACTTAAACATGGAGAAGCCCTCAGTGACTTGAATGAAAACAGGACAGTGGGGCAGAGCTGATACTTCATCAGCTGTATTTTTTCACTCCACTCAATTGCAATGCTCAGGGTCCAATTCTGTTGCTTCTCCATCTCCCCCTGCAAAAGAGCACTTTGTTAAACAACTTACACATGCTGAGTTGCTCCAAAGTGAGATCTGTAGTAGCAATAGGAAAAACACACTTCAATTTAGCCTACATTTGAATAAAACTGAGAGAAGTTGCCTGCCCAGCCAAATAGAACAGTTTCAACTTTAGTCCTTTATGACATCTGAGACAGCATTTCAGCCTTCAGGTATGAATAAGTGTTTGCTTGACTTAATCGAGGGGAAATAAAGTTTGGTAAACTGTGATCACTGTCTCAGAAATCATACTTATTTTAGTCAAATTGTTTTACTGAGGTCTGAGGCAGGAGGAGGAACTTTGGGGTTTAACTTTCCATGTGTTTAAAAAGCCCCTTAGTATAGCAATTTCTCAAATAACTTTCAAAGTTTTTTTGTTTAAAAAATGAAATAAAGCAGGTTTGTAAACTGTAACACAATGAACAAATCCTAGTGTTTAACATACAATTATTGATTAATTTTATTTAATGACTTTGTACTGTAAATCAACTTCAGGAAACAAAGTATACTTGACAGTATGCTACTGTGATTAACTCATCTTCCTATAGCTTTCAGTTGAGATTTCTGAAGAGATGCACTGTCCAAGAAAGATTCATAGTCTCAACCTGTAAACCACTGCAGCCTGGCAGAAGCCAAGGAAGCCATTGTAATTAATTCTTGCTGAGTAGCTGATCCACCAGTTCCTTCATGTGCAGTATCAGTGACAATGGTCTGCTCCAAACTGAGAGATGATCGCGACTGAAGAGGCTTGGGTCCACATCCTCTAAAAACCTAAACATGCTGCCCTTCCCAACAGAGAAATCTTCATTCTCATTTAATGGAAGGCTCAGTCTAGTGGGACCATGGCTGTGCACTGTGATGGGAGAAGAAGCGAGTAGTGGCTTTTGGCAGAAATTGCCTTCATTTTGAGGAAGAGGGTGTGGAAAGAAACAGAGGGAAGAGTAATTGTTAACATTATTACCAAGGGACATGTTAACTTCTAATCTGAGATTCACTTTTCCTTCTGTAAATTGAAACTTTGTCACAACCTCTTCCCCAAGGAACTTTAACCTTTAAATCCATGTAGCAATTGTAGTCTCCAGACAAAGGGCAAAAAAGAAAAAAAAAGAAAAAAAAAGAAAAAAGCTCAGAAGTGCACTTTGCATATCCTGCCTCACAAAGGGTTAAAGTGCTAAGTTTGCTATATCCAAAAATTAAGCATCTCTCCTACTCCTTTATTTTTTTAAATGAAACTTTATCTTTGGTTTCTTGTATCTTCTCCGTAATTTTATCCTTTGTTTCCCCCATCTTTTCTGTAATTTTATCCTTTGTTTCCCCCATCTTCTCTGTAATTTTATCCTTTGTTTCCCCCATCTTCTCTGTAATTTTATCCTTTGTTTCCCCCATCTTTTCTGTAATTTTATCCTTTGTTTCCTCCATCTTCTCCGTAATTTTATCCTTTGTTTCCCCCATCTTCTCCGTAATTTTATCCTTTGTTTCCTCCATCCTGTCTTGTAGGTATTCCTTTACTCGTGGTGGTGTGGACATGTAGCCGTGCTTACGTAGGTATTTAACAGTGGCGGATGTTCCTCCCAAAGTCACAGTGTATCTGGCAGGAGTTGCAATCTTAAAGAAACCAGAGAACACACCACATAGATAAAACAGGAAAAATAATATCCAGCAAAAAGCATTTTTTATGTTGAAAATTTATTTTGACCAGTGTCAGATTCTAAAGATATCTTCAATTTATAAGGAAATAACCCAGCGTACAGTGCATCCCCTAGAAATGCATTCCTTTTACTTAAAGTATAATTTTGTCAGAGCCAGCAAGGGCGTTAGACTTCCCTTAAAAAACCTGATCAACACACAAACCTTCCCTGGGCAGCTTGTAGGACAAGCTTTCGGCATCTTGACGCAATTCAGAACAGACTGCATGTGAACACTGAGCTTCTTCCAAAACTGTGCAATCTCCCAGCTATAACAACATCTTTATATTTAACCATATTTATTTATTGGTCTCTTTTAGGCACAGTAAAAACTGGAAAGAGTCGTACTTTCACATTTTATCTGGAAAAGTAACCCTTTTGAAAGCAGCAAGAAGCACATCACTTTTGGAAACAAAACAAATGAGTGGCATGTACAGCAAATACTGTACCTTGTTTTTGAATGGTCTGACATGCTTCAAGTTTCCCTAACACAGACTTTGCACATATAAAGCAATAAAAGGAAACCCAAACCTGAATGTAAGTAATTGATTTAAATGAACAATGAAAATACTCGAGAATGATGGACAACTCAGGGGAAGACAAAAATTCATTGGGGATAAAAATAACTGTACTTTTATCTGGAATTCAATGAGGTGTTTAGACTTTACCTCTTTGTCCCTGCTAATTATGTCAGGGATATAGAAGAATAACTTAATAACTTAACTGTCATCTCAGAGGGCTGCAATAGTTCTGCAGCAAAGAAGTTATTTTAAAAATACATATAGACTCCTTGAAGGAACACACAACACTTATCAACTTGCATGGGACTATTTTTATCACAAAATGAATGCTTAAGTACATGTAACTATTGAAGAAAGCTAATTAATTATTTCTGCTGTAAATAAGTAAACCCTGTTTAGTTCACCGGGCAAGACTTACAGCTTATTTACAAACTATAATTATACTTACTTTATACAATGCATATGCAGTTAGTGCATTTCCACTTTGGGAATTTTTCAGGATGTCTACTACGCTGTCTGGTAAGCCAATCAACTCTAGGAATGGAACAACATTCACCCCACTATAAAAGAGAAAAATATTGGCAACTTGAATGGGAACTTGAAATCTGAACAGTAATTTAGAGTACTATTTCTTTATTACACAAACTTCATAATTTGAGAACAAAATGTTTTTTTATCTAAGCAATATACTTATAGGATTTATGTTTCTGACCACAGGCAAATTAATGTTCTTTTCAGCATTTCAAAAGGTGACCCATTTATATTATCCCTGTTAGGTTCCTAACTTACCTGTATCCCAGTTTATGTTTGGAGGCAAGAAGATGTAATGGTGGTAAGCCAGCCATTCAGGCTCCAGCTGTGCATGTTCAATTTCATGCTCTGTTTTGCCTAAAATTACCTTTTTTTGCTTCTAAAATTTGAGACAATGTTCTCCACTTCTAAATATATCAAACATGGAATGTGGCAAAAGAAAAGGAAGCGACATGTTACATGGACAAGACTTCAGGGGCTTTGGTGCTCAGTTGCTCTATTGTGTCAATATAAGGCATCAAGATGGGTGGAGGGAGCTCCTATCATGACTTCTTTCTACTTGAAATCCAAATCTACTTGAAAACCAAAGGAGAAAAAATTGCTCATCTTTCTATTAGAGAAGAAAGCTACACACAGGTATAGAAGACCTGAGTTTCCAATATTTAGAGATTTTGGATTACCCATTTCTATCTAGTATTTTAAGCGTTCTTCTGAGCATGCACTTTAGCATTGGGAACAGAAGCAGGCAGGAATACACCAACAGTTAGTAGAACCTATAGTCAGAAGGCCTATTCCCAGAGTAGGAAATGGAGACCTAGTAGGAGCTGAAAGACAGAACTAACTGTGCCATTTCATAAACCACTGCTGTTTAGTCTTGTATGACCAGTCATTCTGAAAGTTATTTTTCCACTTCAAGAGGGTGCTGCTCCTGTGGCATAACAAACTGAAGCTTTGTTATAATTAGTTTAATTAGTTTCTAGTTGAATATTTCAGTTGTTTTCATCTGCCAAATACCTACTTTAGCAGCATGCTTTAGAGTTTCAAGGAAAATAATCTTCACTCAGTCTGAAATGTCTGGATGTAAGCATCAACCTGAATTCATCCAAAGCAAAATATTTTTATAGCTCAAGACCTTTATTCCTCTGACGAGAACTAAATTTAGAATGACATTTGGATCTATAGCTCCCAGAAAGGGCAATTATGCCAGCTGGTTAGAGTAACTAAAACAAACACTTGTGCAGTAAGGCATTCTGATGTCAGAGTTCCATCCTTGCCACCACAAACTGTCGTTGTTTCATGCTTTCTATTATTAAATATACAACACCAGCAGTCCAGAGATAAACATTTGCTCATATTTAGCAAACTATTTCCAGATAAATAAAACCTCTTTTATCTAAACTAGCAAACTAGCAGCTCATAATTGATGTAGTAGCTTTTTCTGATAAAAACCATTTTCCAGAACGGTATCTAGCACATACTGTGACTAAAATAAACTAAAATTAGAATACTTAGTTAATATATACTTTTTTTTAACCACACAAATATTTTATTTCCAATTAAAAAGTATGGTCTAGAGTAGCAATTTTTTCAGTAGATAGCAGGAAAGACAAGAAACAGAAACAAAAAAGGAAGGGATACACATAGCTTGTGAACAGCTAAGTAAGCTAAATCCATGAAGTGAAAATCCAGTTATGAGGAAGGACTGGGGATGAAGCAGGGAGGAAGTGGTAAAATACCCTGAAGTCCAAGGGCAAAAAAAAGAAAAGGTCTATAAAGATCCCAACTAGCCATTCATAATCAGGATTCCAAATCCCTATCTTTACCTTTTGAGAGGTTACTAATAATTTCAATGCTGTTTACCTTCATGCATCATTTTGAAGAGATGAAGATTCCTTTAAATGTCAGCAACATACCTGGTACACAGCAATAACTGCATGGTAATAGTATGTATATGACACTCTCATGAATCCTATATACTTTCAATATTAATATTATGTTTTAGTAAAAAATGTACGCACATTTCTCTTTTAAATATAAAGGCACTTTCCAACATGCAACAATAATTTATGTGTCCTTTCACTAGGACGCACCTTTCCTCTCACTGCAACAAAATACCAACTTACTTCATGGCTGCATAGTAAAAGGATCCAAACCATACAGTGGAAGTCAGAAGGTGCACTGGAATCATGACTTTCCCATACTGCTTAAAAGTCTTCTTGAATCTCTGAACAAGACCAATTGATTTGTCTTGCAATGGATCAGGTTCTGAAGGATCTGACTCTGCAGGGCTCTGCTTAGGTGCATCAGTGGCTGAAGGCAAAGGATGTCGCTCTTCTGGTACTTTGTGAGAAGCGTCTGCTGGCTGTGATGAAAAAGCAGTTTTCTTTGAGGCAAAGTGGGCTGCACCTGCATGAAGACATCGTTTAGGAGGGTCCAGTGCCAGAATCACTTTGCATCCCACATGAGACAACAAAGACTGTCCTTTTAAGCACTGAAAGACACCGGTGCGAGGGAAGAACCAACACGTCCCATGTGCCAGCTGAGATGCAGAATGTAACAGACTCCGCTGCATTTTGAATGAAGAGTGGATGAAGTTTCTATAAAGAAGAAACAAGAGTAAACAAACTGCATGTCAATGGTGTTATTTCTACTTGCTCCAATGCCATCTGAAATTCTCAAATTTTAAATGGCTTTCTATTCTACTTTAAAAATGTTTTCCTTATCTTTCTTTGCAGAGATGGTTACCTTCCAGAATTAAGGAAATAATTTTCTAACTTCTTCAGCATTCCGAACTAAAATAGCCCCTTCACTTAACACACTCTGCTCCTCACTACTAAAATGATCACTCTAATCCCAAAAAACATTCTTAGGAGCTTAGTACTATCTGCTGCTTTTATCTACATAACCTGGCACAGCCATTGAAAAGTTACCCTTAAACTTCACTTATAGTAGCATCTGACAACTTGAGTCATACTTTGAGCCTACATAAATGCATTATAAATTCACTGAAGTAAGTGCAATTAAAATTCATTTTTGGTGTCAGTGCATTCTTAGTTTTGGTAAAATTTTTCATCTATACTATTTTCAGTAGAAGTTCATACAACTGCAAAACCCTAGTAGAAATAAATATTAATAATCAAACAATAGCCCAAATAGTAACAAAAGTAACTGTAACAGTCTGCCAGTAACACCTGTCAGGATCAGGGAAGGTACTGTTGAATGTCATATATTAACATGATCAAAACTGTACTGCAATTTTCCAAATGTTGCAATGCAAAGAATATTTAAATTGGTGGAATAAGCCAGTTAATTTTATGATTTTGAATACTTACCAGCTACTCCTGAAAGTTTGAAATAACTATTGAGAGCTTCCTCACAAAGAAGAAAGGAATTTAGTTTTGCATGCATAGACATCAAGAAATCATTTTTACCCCCCAAAATGCATGCTTTGAAACTATGAACTACTCTCTCCTTTCCTTTATTCAATGGTTGCAAGTTACAGAACTGACATTCCTTTCCTCAAAAAAACCCAAACAAACAAGTGACGCTAACTGATGTAACAAATGCCACTTAAGGTAGTTACATTATGAGTTTTGTATATTACTAAAGCTTTTCCATTTTTAATTGTCACAATTCTTTATCCAAACTAGAAATCATTCAAATGTAATTTAAATGTCATATCTGCTTTCCCTTCACCTGTAGCCTTAGATATATGCCAGGTGCTTTAATAGTGAATTTTTCTAGGCTGCAGAAAATGATCAATACTTCCTAACACAGGAAGAAGTTTAAAAAAATAAAAGTGAAACCATACATACCCTTTTTTACTTTCTAGATATGGTAAGGTTTGTATCTTCAAAAAGCTGAAACTCTTCCACTAGCTCCCCACCTTTCAAATATATGTCTTGAACACATTGATGCCCCTGCTAAAGAGAAAAGAGGGCACATTTAGAGAAACAGCAACAACAGCAAATTAATCCTACGAAGATTTATTTCTGGTCAGCCTGAAACCTTGCAACTGAAGAAGTTATATTCCCTTTTGAATACTGACATGCTAATGTAAGATTATTTTCTGTGTCATTTTAGTTCTTCAACTGTGAATTACTGTTCTCTTCCAAGAGAGATATGTTTCATAATCCAAATGCATCTGTTGGAACATTCCTGTCTGTATGTTTTCCAGGTAGTTTTATGCTACTGTTGTAATTGAATTAATGGCAATTACTAGAATTACAATGTTTGATGTGGGGAAAAGAGGAATTCCCAGGTTTCAAACTCCCTGGGAACCTCTGCGCTGCTTGTGACACACGGACACACACTTTTGTTGAACTCCTACTAACAGAAGGTACTGCATCAACAGAGAAACAGGAACTTGTGTCTGTGTATAAGCGAGCAGTTACTCTGTCCTGTTGAGTTACGAACTCCGTGGGAGTCAAGAAGTGCTGCTGCTGCCCGTGGAGCAGTAAATCAGCTACAAGTACTTGCCCTCCACTACTCAGCTTTCTCTAAGACTTCACTGGAAGCAGCAACTGCTTGTAATATCTCTAGTTTTACAAGAAGCAGAGATTCTTGCTTACTTCTGAAATCCAAATGCAATTGCTTCTCAAAACAAGAAGTAGTGAAAACACTCAGGAAAACTCAAGTGCTCAGATGGCACTCTGTCATATGCCAACTACTTAACTGATTTATAGAAATTGTAACAACAAACTTGGAACATGGCAACTGCATTCCTTGCCTATTGCCATTTGCAGCTCTTTCCTGAGGGATAACATTCTCCACAGAGAACTGTTTTCCCCTCACACTAACAGCACACAGCACTGAGCATCTGCCCTAGGTAGATTTTCTCAATATCCAGCCAACAGACTCAGCAAAAGGCATCCATGTATGGGAATCTGGGGACTCTTGAATCAGACTTCTACTGTTCACCAGTACCCTATTGAAAAATACCTGTTCCAAACAAGCTTTGCAAATTGCCACCATGGGGGAAACCATAATTTTGAGTCATTTATATTATTAACAGGACACTGCATTCCAGCAGCCTTGGGAAGAGATCATTCTTCAGCATGGGACTAAGAAGCTGAACAAGTATTTCTGAATTTTTCCATTCCTTGTATTTACAGTAGCACTTCTCAGAGCACCGTTTCTATGTTTTGTAATCCAATACTGTCAGGAAATGGTTCCATTCTCCTGAGTGTGGATCACCACTGTGTCCAATGCTCCTCGGGCAGCACATAACACTGCTGTGATCAGTAAATGAGTTTCAAGGCCTTTGCTCACAAAGTTACATGTACCATGTAAGACTTTAAAGTAGAATATTACCACTGGCTTTAGAGCAGAGAAAGTTCTGGGACTATTACAAGACTTTCCATACCACTTTTTGTTCCTATATTCTCAGATGGGCTGGAAAGTCACTAATTAAAGGCTTTTTTCTCCATGATGCATGACCTGACATATCAAAGGGAATGCCATCTAAACATCTACAGTAGACCCTGAAAAGATTTTGCACCTTGTAAGCAAACAGTATGGTTCTATCTGATATTCTGCTTACTGTTTATTCCTCCACCTTAAAATGTGGAGAAGCACAATAGCTTGATAGATAAGGAAAGGCTAAGATATGATAGTGCTTATGTTTGAGAGGATAAAAGAAAACACATTTTTTGAAACAAGCATAATATTTTCCTAATGACCTTACTGTGTTTCACAGGTATGTGCTTTGCTTATTTAAATGAACAAAGGAGAGACCCTTTGAAGTGCTGGTACATTGAGTACTACACTGCTATCCAGAAGCACTGGGATGAGGGAAGTATTATAATGGTTACAGCACGACGTAGGAAAGGCACATGAATAAAGGAACAGATTGATACAGCATTTACTTTGTAAATTCCTTCTAAAGAAACAAATATTTTTAAAGGGATGATGGATGCAGCTGCTCAATTGTTATACTTTAGTTACTTTGCTCAACAATGCAAACAAATCTTTAATAGGACAGATAAACTGCACAGTCATTATGGTTGGAGGTTCAAATAAATATTAAACTAGCTGTTTCATCCCTCTAAAACATGATATGAATACAGAGAAACTTGTCCCTTAAGACAATTAGTGAAAGGAAGTTCCTAATACCCTCAACAGGCAGCAGGAAGTACGTCAGCCTATGGATTTGAGACACAAATTTCTTCTCTAAGCATAATATTTCTCAAAGAAATTACTGGAGCTATACAAGGTATACAGTTGCCCTTGTAACTTTAGTTTGTTAAAACCACTCAGATTCTAAGGAAGTCAGGACAGTAGCCTGAATGTTACCCACAATTGTACCTAGTGACTTTTGAAAAGTTGCTTCTTCATTTTAGTGTGTTTAACATTTTTCCTGCTGTTGCATATATATATGTATACAGGAAAGGACAAAAAGGTACAAGCTCCAGATATCAAAGTGGGAAAGCACTTGTCTGTGGGGTGGGGGCAGGGGGAAAGGCATTTGAAAGCATCTTAGATTTCTTTATTAGTTTTCTCTTAAAAATGTCACAAAGAAAAAAAATTCTAAGGACAAATTTACCCCCAAGTTCTCTGCTCCAAGAATCCCATGAGGTCAGTGATTGAATAGATATTAGCTACAGAAACCATGGAATGCTATACAAACACTTGTGATGCAGTCTCCTCTTCAGCGCTGTCACATCCCAGCTAACTATTTAGTAGGATCTCCAGCGGACTGTAAACTGAGCTGTAGAGATCTTGGCTGCTCAATTCAAAGTCCTAGTTGAGATTCTGGGACATCCATTTAATTCCTGAAGGCACCCAGTCTCATGGTGAGCTGTTAACAAGGCCTCTGACATAAAGAGAGTGCTCTAGGGGCCTCTTATGGAAAAGTATAGATTAGCTTCTCACTGCAGTGCTGGAGGTTTTGTTTAAGACACTTCTGTACTTTGTTAGAATTCAGATCAGCTTTGGCATAAACCTGATATACTGTAAGAGCATCCTAGCTCTTGCATTTACTGTACTTTTCAGTGATAATTATGAAGTAGATATCAGATTTGTTCTTTGTTCCCAAGGGCAACAGAAGTTCAGAAATTTTAAATTCCACAGAGGTGGTTTATATGACTATCATAAAGCCATTGGCTTTGGATGTGTGCTAACATTCTATGCCAAAAAACTCCAGGGGATCTTTGGAACAAACACAGAAGTAACAAGCCTGGCCAATATAGGTATGGCAAAGGCTGCTGTGGATATTTACTGTTGGAAAGAGAAAACATGCCAGAGATATTTTCAGATGAAACTTTCATCAGGATAATTTGCATAAAAATGGTTGCCCTGTTACAATTAATGTTTTTTGAGTTACCAGGAAAATTAAAATTTGAGAAGGAGGAGTGCATAAAAGATGGCAAAAACTTTAATGTTAAAATAACGGCAAAAACTTTAGTGTTAAGTTCTTTTGTAAAGAGGTCAGAAAGCATCTGAGGGAATTGAAGTTATAGCATATGTAGAGAACACTGGATTATTTTCTCAGTTATACCAGAAACACTCTGGACACAATATGTAAATATGGATGACTTTAAAGCATTTTTACTTGTTCTGTTACTGTTTAAAAAAAGAACATTAATTATACCACAGGAGAGTTCTCAATGAAAATCCATGAGCTTTTTCCAGTCCCAAGGCACCTTTCTATAGAAACAGAGAATTAATTTACATTCTTGTCAGATTTAGTGTAAAATCTAGAAAACTTTGAGGATTGTGTGTAGCAGACAGAGAAGAATTTTGAAAGGAAACAAACCAAGTTTTCAGAAATACTTTTCAACTTATCTTTCAGATTGCATAAAAAGCAAATATAGAGATCTCATCCAAGCAGCTCAGTTTAATCAACACCACCACCATATTGCTTACATTTTTACTAAACATAATAAAAAACCCCAAAGCTTGTTTTCAGCTTTAAATAGTTCTTTTCAAGAACTCGTTGACAGTATTTATAAAAAAAAATCAAAACCCAACCAAAACCAACAGATTTTGCTGAGCTCATAAACCAAAATAAGAAAACCACAACTGAACTGAAAACATATATGGGTGTCCTAAAAATCTCGGAACGTATTTTACAATCATTGTAAGACCAGTGCAATACATGCAAAGCATTGTTTTTCTAAAATTCATTGCAAAATAAAACTATAAACGTCTTGGTAACTGCAAAGAGTTGGCACAGCATGGAATCACTAACCATGGATGGGAAAGTGGCAGTGCATAGGGACTTTTTATACTTTGTATTAATACCTTGACTGCATGAATGAACATTTAGAATTTCTATTTCGACCTTTACTACTTTTGCAGTGTCACTCAAACTGTTACTCAATCTAAATTAAGAAACAGTGGAATTTATTTAAAACTTGGTAAAATCATGTTAAAACAAATAAAAGACTAAACCCTTGCAGACAAATGACCCTAAAGCATTAGCCCCCCCCCATACTATTTTCACTTTGTAAATGCTATGCTATACTTTTTTAAATTCATCATATTATTACAATTCAATACTGCTAAGTGGAGATAAGCCAACAACTTTGTTACCCTTATTGTATGTAAACTACTCTTCTTGCTAAAACACCCTGAGCAAAATCAAAAAAGTAAAATAAACTTTTCCACTGTCCTTACACACCGAGTAATCTTCACTACTACAATCTTCTAATACTCAAAATTACGAAAGACACGAAGAAGTAGTTCTAGGAAGAATAAAAGATATTGTAGACATGTATAAAGTCTGCACACTGGATTCAGAAGATAAAGCAAGAGAATGTAATGCAATGCCTGTGTGTTGAATTATGCATCTGGAATGCTAAGCAGGAGCCTTAACAGCTGATCTGCACAGTCAGTATGTCCATGGTAACTCCATTTTCCTCTGTGATGCAAAGTACTGGATCTTAAGACTGCATGTAGCTGACCATTACATGAAAATGTGAATATTCTCTCTCAAATGCTTCTAAAAGTAAGGATCACAATCAGCTGTAGTGCTTTCTGCTCTTCAGAACTGGTTTTAACAACTGGTGCTCTTCCATCTGTTAGCACTGGCTCCCTCTTTCCCAAGTTTTGTTCTGCCCTCTACTGAATTTTTACATAAGTACAACCCATACTAGTACTACAGAAGATTTCTTCTCTCTATGATTCCATCCAACAAGTGTTGCTGGATCATCCTCTAGATTGGTTCCAGAGCCTCTCAGATTATAGGCACATTCCAAGGAAAAAATTACCTTTTAAAGTGTTACCTGGTTTGATTTTTGTCCATTTGTCACTTGTCAGACAGGTCTGCAATAAGCAAGGTAGAGAAGTTACGCCTATAGATTTTAACTAAGCTTAAAAATAGGCATATTATAGATCTATGCTATAAAAAAAAGGTCAAAAAGCATTATGTTAGTTTGAAGCAGGGCTGTATTAATCTGCTTCTTCACACTACCTTCCACTTTAGGTTAATGATCAAAATAGGATCTGATTCTCTTTCTATTCCACATAGGGAATAACTTTATGAATCCTAGCAACTTCTTCCATCCTTTCATCTCCCAAGGTACCATTAGTTAATTTTTCCTAAAACACTTGCGGTTTTCAGCCACAGGGCCCTCGACATGCAGGTGCGGGGGATGTAGGGGTATATGTGTGTAGTAGTGTGGTTTACAAAGCAGTGGAAAGCTTCTACTTTCCTGCACATAGCTGTGCCCCTCAGAAAAAAAAAAACAACTCACAACTGAACCGATGATGGTTAGATGCTAAAACATGAACAAATACACA